CAGCACCAGCCGAGGCGGGGAGAAGCCAAACCAGCGTCAGACCGGCATTGCTTCAGGTCTTTCTGTCGCCCCTTCCTCCGTGTTGGTTGCCCCAAGGCCCGGGCAAGGCAGGTTTTGTCTCCAGCAGGCTCTGCCCAGCCCTGGCACCTGCACAGCCCGATGAGGGGAAGTGTCCTGGTTTCGGCTGGGATAGAGTTAATTTTCTTCCTAGTAGCAGGCATAGTGCTGTGTTTTGGATTTAGGATGAGAAGAATGCTGATAACACACTGATGTTTTTAGTTGTTGCTGAGTACTGCTTATGCTAGTCAAGGACTTTTCAGCTTCCCATGCTCTGCCAGGTGCACAGGAAACTGGGAGGGGGCACAGCCAGAATAGTTGATCCAAACTGACCAAAGGGCTATTCCATACCATGTGATGTCATGCTCAGTATATAAGCTGGGGGGGGTTGGCCGGGGAGCAGCGATTGCTGCTCGGGAACTGTCTGGGTATCGGTCGCAGGTGGTGAGCAATTGCATTGTGCATCACTGGCTTTGTATATTATTATATTGTTATTATTATCATTACTATTTTACTTTATTTCAATTATTAAACTGTTCTTATCTCAACCCAGGAGTGTTTCGCACTCTTACTCCTCCAATTCTCTCCCCCATCCCATCGGGGTAGGGGGAGTGAGCGAGCGGCTGCGTGGTGCTTAGTTGCTGGCTGGGGCTAAACTGCAACAGGAAGGATGGTCAGGGTGGTCAGGGGTATGGGAGGGATGACGGAGGGGCACTTTCACAGACTCTTTAGGCAGGTCAGGAAACACCTGGCTCTTCCAGTAGTGGGTTGTGCAAGGATTTAAAAAGAAGGCCATACAATCTGTCTTACCCAGAGCTGGATCTTTTGCTCCCAGGGGAGAGCTGCTTCCTCAGGCTCCCTGACGACTCCTGGGAGATGCAGGCAGAGGTGCCTCTCACTTGGAGCTCCCCATGTCTGACTTAGTGGTGTGAAACAAGTGGAAACATCTGAGGGAATCCTCAGCATTGTCCTATTTTGAAATACTGTGTGGTCAGAGGTATTGGGCAGAGTCTCAGCAGTCTTTTGTTCCCCATGGAGATTGTCCCGTCTCTCCTAAACAGGTGAGGTGCTTTGTCATCTAGCATTTGGGTATGTTGTCTGGTGTCGAGCCCTCAATGTGTGGCAGCTTCTCCTGTTGTTGAGAACAACACTCCTTGGCTTGCAGTGCTGGATTTGATCACCAGCTCGACCATATGCTGGAGCAGTTGCTAAGACTTAAGCAACAGTCCTCCTTCCGCACTTGGTGCCCTAAGAGCAGTGGAAGAGTGAAGGTAAGCGGGGTTACGTGTCAGTCTTCTCTGGTCTCCTCTCCTTACCTGGGCAGCCCTTGCTCCCAAGCTCCTGCAAGTTCCACCCTGGGATGAGAGACTGGTCAAGATGCAAAGATCCCTGCTTCTATCCAAAGCACAGAAAATGACTCCATGGCTTCCAAATCTCAGACTCTTTATTACAATTCTCACCCCAATAATGAAGCTGAAAAAGTTCCACATTGTGTGGGAGAAGATCACAATGGAAGTAAATTCAGTAGAATGGCTTTTTGGATGACATCTTGGGGCCGGAAGTATCCACGAGACAGAGCACTTCCTTCCGAGGGGAAGATGGAAAGAAGGCACAGAGGGCAAACAACCCTTCCTGAGGGTTAACCAGGGACACCCTGGCATGCTGTCTCTAGCATCCATTCTTACACACTTCCAGCAGCACAGAGATCAGAGACATTTCTATTTGTGATGAGACATTCACCAGTGGTGAAATCCCTGCGCCAAAATTAGCATTTGAGAGGTGTGGCTTTAAAGTATGAGCTGAGGATAGCTTATGCATGTAGAGACCACAGTGATATGCAAAGTACCGCCAAGTATTAGAAGAATAGAAGATGCCTGAGAAATGTAACTGCATTTTGCATATGATCTGTTTTATCAAGGGCCAATGCAAATCTATTTGCCATTCCTTTTCTTGACACTTGAGCAAAAAAAGTTCAGGGAAAACCAGAAAAGGCAAACACAGTTCTGTCCTGAGTTATGAATGTGCAAAGTCATGGAAGATATTGTAGTTGTATCAAAGCCTGTGAACAAGGTTTGACCTGATAAACGTAAAAGAATTTATCAGATCTGGTTGTTCAAAGTTGTGTGTTACTTGCACATTATTTTTTGCACATTAGTTGCCATTTAAATATTTGTTGAAAAAAGCCTGGATCTGTGGCCAGGCATGAACGTGAGCTTTAGAATAAGCCCTGAGCTCCCCACCCAGGACTGCCGGCTTGCGAAAATGGGATGGTTTCCTATGGAGTACAAAGGGAAAAAGGGAGGGTCAATGCAGTGCCCTGTGCCAGGGTAAGACAGAATCTGAAAATTTTCCTTCCCTTGAGCCTGCAAATACTTGCAGGCTTCAGTAGCATGATACTCAGATTTAATAATGTGATCATCTTGTCCAGCAATGAATCGTAACTGTGCCTCAGCTTTCTCTAGTGGGATCAGGCTTTGGTTGCCAGGGGCTTGAAAGGGGTCAAGAAGGATGTCAGAACAATCAAGAATATTGGAATCAGTGACCTTGATCTGTTTTTCATCAATGGTCAAAGTGGGGATGGTTTTATCCTTGTAACAGAGAGGAAGAGTTGTGATGGCCACAGGAGCATTGAGGGAAGCAACTGCTGTGATGTTCTTCAGGAAGGTGGCCATGGCGAGAGACAGTTCAGCTCCTTTGGAGAAACCAAGCAGACCAACACGTGGTCCCTTCACCTGGTAGACAGGAGGAAATCCTCATCAGTACTGAGTTGAAAAACACAATGGCTAGTTCCTGGAGGGGAACATTGTATAATGCCAAGAGCTCACAAAACACTGTGAAGGCAGTGATGGCAATGATTAGTTTTTCTTCTGGACAAGTGCCAAGCACCTCCCCCTTCAGACTGCTGCCTTTGGCAGTGTTCTCTGGTGCACTGACATCAGCCAAGAGAGGGGGAACCTGATTTCACCAATCTGAGGACAGGTTGTATGATGCAGCTAAGAATTACTAGTCTTAGACACTGGCAGATGCTCTTTGCTTTCCACTTTTGAGACTTGCAGGAGGACATTTAGTGGCAATTCATGAAGGCTCTCTCCTGCACAACCTTCCCACCTTGTTATGTCTCACCTGTTTCTTGTGAAATTACTTTGTGATCTCTCCCCACCGCGCTTCCAGTGCATATCTGTTTGACCCTTCTTCTTTCCGAGAACTCAGACACCCAAACTCCTGGCAGATGCCAGCCATGCCAGGTGAGTATTTCAGCAGCTTCCTCCAGAGATAACTCAGGCAAAGTGACAGACACTTTGGAGAAGTGCTCCCTGGAGCCCAGGGGGACACGGAGGGTGCTCCTACCTGTGGGTGCTGCACCATATAGTTCACTGCCTCTTCAAAATATTCCAGGTGGAGTTCAGTTGGCTCCTGGGGCAGATCCGCATATTGATAATAAGCCAGGGCCAGTGTGGCAAAACCATGATTGGCCAGCAGGCTGGCTCTGTACTCAGAAAGACCTCTTCCAAATCCATGTATGTCAATGATTCCTGGAAAGGGGTCTTCTCCTGGAGCAGACAAGACAAAGAGCAGTATTGCCTGAAATGACTCCTTTCAATGTTTCTCTGGTTTAGAATGCATCAAACCAAGTACACAACAGGAACTGCAGAAAAGCATCTTTTGGGGAAAGGACATGATCAGTCACTCATCTGTGTGGTGTCAGCAGCTGAAAAAACCCTAGAGTCTGTTGCAGAGGAAGAAAGGCTCAGGAGCAGACCTCTTGGGTAAGGTGCAAACCCTTATTTGGTTTAGGAATCAGCAGTATTTCTGGATTGTGCTTAGGGGCAACAGGCAGAGACTGGTGAAAGTATCTTGTCCCAACTTCTCTTCTCCTTGTAAACAGCCCTGTAACAACGACCACTTCATCTGGCACAGCCACTTCATCTGGCACTGTAAAAATCCTCAAGGTATCATGATTTGATAGATGTAATACTATTAAAATAGAAACTGTAAACATGTGTGTTTGTATTGTGGCTTTTGAACATTTGGGATCCCTTGAAAAGTGATAAGTGGGATCCACCCAACCAGCACTTCATCTCTTTGGGGATCATGTCTCTGATCAGTATCAAATTCTGCAT